AATGTCATAGTGAGATTAAAAGACTGTCTTTATACAGCACCGAACATCAGTTGTTCTTTCAAATGAGAACAATGGGCTGTTAAGAGCTGAGGATATGAGCTGGTGCCCTCTTCTTCTCTCATAGGTGAGCCTATAGATGCAAAAGAAGAGCAGAATATGTCAGGCCTGTAGATAATTTAGTCCACTATTAGCCAGTATGGCAGCCATAGATCCCACTGAGATAACAAATGGCATAATAATACAAAGATTGCCCTCTTCTCAATTTTCATGGTCAGTAAACACAGATGGCGTCTGCATTCACTTTAGAACTTTGTCTTATTCTTTATTCTTTAACTTTTGAGATGAAAGTCATTAGTCCTGCCTGCCACAGCCTTAGGCTTATATTACTAATTTCTTTCTAAAAATCATTTTAAATATTAGAATTTTCTAATTAAGAAAACTCAGGAAATAAGGCATTGCCTCTGTAAGGAGATGGCTGTACTTCATCCTTCATAATATGGACAGAAGAGAAATATACAAAGCACTGTATAGATGCTTTTATTTTTATCTCATGTGAGATGCTTATTGTCATATTTTAATTGCCATGACTTAAAATGTGAACAGTGATTCTGGTCTATTTTAGAATCAGTTTTTTTTCTGATTGAAACTTGAATTTTCTTTGCTTAAAAGTATTATTGAAATGAGTATATAAATTAACACCTTTGAAAGGCAATGCGATAGTCTCTGTGAATGGTTCTTAGCATTATCTGGACAAAAAATTTTTTTTTGTTAGAAACATCTTGCAGTTCCCAATTATCCAAATAGGAAATATGTCTTTAATACTAATTTTAGAAAACACCTTCAACACAGTTCCCAAGTTGTTAGTTAGTAAATGAGAAGAAATGGGAGCATGATTTAGAATGAGATATTCAGTATCTCAGAATACAAACCATTGGCAGGGCTAGCCTAGAACATGGCATGAAGTTAGCTGCTGGACCACCACAGTGTTGATGTAATAGCTACCCAAAAATGTGATTTATCACATGATGGACATCTTGGTAAATCCAAATAAAGCACTGGGAAGTCTTCTCTTGATTCCACAGCTGTTATAGTCCAAGGAAATGAAGTTTATGCTAAACTCGTGACACATTTTTTACATATAAAGTGGAGTTATATCCTAAGCTGATATAGTTATATGGATTTTTCTTCTACATAAATGTTTTCAAAGCCAGAGACCATCATTCAGCATTATAGGTTTTTGTTTGATTGTTTTTGTTTTTGTTTGTTTACTTTTGTTTTATTGTGGGATTGGCTCACTTACTGCCAGGATACCTGACATTTTTGGCCTTAATCCACTAGAGGCCAGAAAATAATTTTTAATCCTCTCTGTTACTGTGTGAACCAGAAATATTTCTACATTTTCCCAAAATTCCTCTAGCCTTTTCCAGTGAGAACCATTTAGAGACCAGCAGCTGTGTAGGGGTGAAGGAGATGGTGGTCACTGTTCATGAAGTGTCCTTGTTTGGGTTCCATTTCAGCTAGTAAGGAAGTAAGCAAGGCTGTAATGTGTATAGTAACTATTTATCAAGAGATGATTTTAGATGTTAAGGTATTTGAAGTCATAGCACATTTTAAACATGAAGGTGCAACAACTTCTAGCTCTAGGAATTTTTAAAACAAAAATATTTCCCTACATGATCTTGTCCTCTCTCTCCTCTGGGGCTTTCTGTGTAGCTGACCAGTACATTGTTTCCAACCCTCTCACTTCCAACTCTGCTCCCACGTAAGTCATACTTCTTTTTTCATTTTTAAAAATGAGATTATAATATACGTGCACCATTTCCCTCTTCTGTTTCCTCCCTCTAACCCCCCCAATATACTTTTCACTCTTTCAAATTCATTGCTATTTTAAAATTACTTTCATTTTAATACTGTCTATGCAGTTGTTACAGTTCCCCTTTTATTATCTTGCAAAACTGAGTTGTTTTAGATGTATTTACTGCTTTCCAGATAAACAGATTTTAGTCCCCAGAAGGAAAGAACTCCAAAGGTAGTTTCCTGTTCCTGCAGGGCACTAGAGGCTGCTCCCATGGTTTCCAGGACAGAGGCTAGAGATTCATTGGTTGACATGGCTTGAGAAAGTCTATCCCAATTTACATTTCCTGAATTAATAAACATCATCCTGATTTTAAACATCTTTGTAATATTTCATATTTTTTTATTTGATGGTAGTGAAACTGTTTCAACTCAAACTTTGGAAAATATGAAACCTAATCAATGTAATTATCTTTTTTCTCTTAATGAATATTTTTAATATCCTAGTCTCTGGGGATTAACTTTTGTTTTAATTCTCTATGTCAGTGTCATCTATTAACCTCTCCAAGATACACCGGCTCTGTCACCTGTCATATGATCATGACCCAAAGTGTACTAAGTGGTAGTCATGGGCAACATTAATTATTTTCAGTAAGGTGTTTCTGCAGTCCCATCTGAAGAGCAGGATTAAGGAGACCTCCTTTGTGTGTAACACCTTGTTCCATCTAGGTTATCTAATTAGAGGTGACCTCACATTACTGATGATCCCTTCTCTTGGGTCAATACATATTTCTTTTCTTACAGCTTCATTTCCTGAGCTATATTCTGTAAGTACCATTTCACTATGTGGAATCTCAGCTACTTAAAGATAATATTCTACTCTGCTGCCCAATTCATTAGACTTATAATAAAAACTAATAATTTGAAATCTTTGATGTTTTATTTAAATGTGAAAGGAAGAGCTTGTTTTTAATTCAATGTTTCACCATCTTTCTCTGTCCTGGAATGGGCTAAAGAAAAGAAGGAACTTGTTTAAAGATGGCAAGGCTGACTTTGTTCAATGTGGACCACAGGCTACATGCAAATGGACTGTTGCCATGGGGTTTTGCTGTCGTGGAGAAAGAGTGGGCTTAATTCTGATAGGACAAAAGGGATTTATAACCAATGAGCAGGAGTAGACAGTGGGAGTATTTTTTTTTTTAAGAGAAAACATTGTGGAGGAAAAAAGGAATAGCTCAGTAGAACTTTTGCTGTAGGAAATACAGAGAGATATAGTTATCAAAATCATCCAGACACCAAATGTGGGGGCTTTCCATTAAGCTGATAGGATTCACTTTCAAACTGGATTCTGTTGTTATGGGCTCTAGATCTATTTCTCCTAGATGAACGCTTGCTTTGTGCTAGACATGTAATGAAAAGGGTATGACAATTGTGTCACTTCTCTATCACTACGCTGTGAGAACTGACTAATTCTCTTGCTATCACTACAAATTAGGAGCTTACTCTCACTACATGCACAGATGGAGAGATGACCAGGTCTTCCTGTGTGTGAGGAAAGGGACCACATTTACCTTCAGGTGTACCATGGCTCCTCACCTCAACCTCACATTCCTCCTCTTTACAAGGGCTTAACAGTGCTGAGGTGGGGCTTATTGGTAAGAAAAGTATGTGCCTTAGCAGCCCCAGGGCCCTTGTTTTCAGGCCCTTGTTTCTCCAGGAACCCCCTTTTTGAAAAAGGCAGAAGAAGCTGGCACATTGGTTCAACACTTGGGGGTATAATACTCTTGCATAGGCCTGGAGTTGGTTCCTAACACTTTATGAATGCTTGTATCTCCAACTCCAGGAATCCACCTTCCTTTTCTGAAATCCACAGTTACTGAAATCAGATATGCACTTATCCACACATTTACATACATACATTTTTCAAATAAAATTAAGAAAAAATACATAGGTTAACAGTGTAATCTTACAATTGACTGTGTTTACTAGACTCTGCACCAGGAGTAGGAGTGATTCATTTTTAATTTTCTATAATGGAATGGGAAAAATGTTACATTTTTTCATTTACTGAGGAGATGTAGCATCTTTTAATAAGTTTACTGGTCTTTAGGGTTAGCTCCAAATCAGTGCTTTCTCCACCTTTAGAGTGGTATGGCCTCGATTTTTAAATAAGACAAAGTTCACATGTCATTTAATGAATTGTTTTAAATATACAATTCAGCAGCTTTTGCTGCTTTGTAGTTTCAGAATCACACACTTAGTTCCAAAAATGAACCATGGACCCACTAAAGAGTACCACCTGCTGCTTGCCAGCCATGCTTTCTACCTGGTCATTTGGTTGCTGTAAATTTATCTATTATGGATATTTCACAAAAGTAGAATTGTTCAGTATGTGTCTGGCCTTTTGTATCTGGCTTCTTTCACTTAATATTTCAAGGTTCAACAATATGAGAAATATATATATATATACATATATATATGTATATATATATACATATATATCACTTTATTATCAATATGAAAAGCTAGCTATAGTTTTTAGTATAGGTTTTAAATGGCAGTCTTATCTGGATTGTAATTTTCCTAAACAGATTATCCTCCAGTGGGTTGGAGGATATATATTTGTTGTAGAAGAGGCTGACTGGAGAGATGGCTCTGCTATTGAAAGCACTTGCTGCTGATCCTGATGAGCTGAGTTCAGTCCCTAAACCTACCTACGTGGTATAAGCACAGAACTGATTTCTATCGATTGTTGTCCAGATGTACACCATGTTTTCTGTTTATATGAACATACACAGACCTACCTGAGTAAATATAAAACCATTAAGAGAATGTCCTAGTCAGATATACCTTTCTTTCATCTTTGTGTTGGGCATTCAGTTTTCTTACGTTTACATATGAATTTTTAACATTGAACTTTTAGTATATGGTGTTTCGTTTCCCCGAGGGTATCCACCAACAAAGTTATTTTTAAGAAATATTTTTCAGTAAAATAAACTTGTATCTTCTGCATGTTGAACGTGCAAACCTTTTCCTTCTGATCTTTCTAGTGTTCCATTGATCTCTCTGACTCCTATGCCAGCACTGTACTGTTTGATTACAATGCTTTTGTACTTTGTGTAATTTCCTTTTCTGTTTATATCAACAATCTTAATATATTTTACTGCAAGAAAGAAAAATTGCTTTTAAAAAACTTTCTGAGTCACCCCTCTAAATTTCTCAGTGTCACAAGTGCCCAACATGCCCAGCTGCCCCCAGGCCTATTTGGAACTACAGGCACTGTCTCTGAGTGAGCGTCAATGTGTGGAGACAGTAGTCAACATGGGCTACTCATATGATTGTGTCCTGAGAGCCATGAAGAAAGGAGAGGATATTGAGCAGATTCTCAACTATCTCTTTGCACACGGACAGCTTTGTGAGAAGAGCTTTGATCCTCTTTTAGTGGAAGAGGCTCTGGAAATGCACCAGTGTTCAGAAGAAAAGATGATGGAGTTTCTTCAGTTGATGAGCAAATTTAAGGAAATGGGCTTTGAACTGAAAGACATTAAGGAAGTTTTGCTATTACACAACAATGACCAGGACAATGCTTTGGAAGACCTCATGGCCAGGGCTGGAGCCAGCTGAGACTATGCCCTGTCATGGCCCTGCCACACAACACCATCCCCCAGGAGGTCCTGCACAGCTCACTTGTGGGGAAGAAGGGACATGCTTCCAGATTCTCTTTGGGGGTTAGAAGGTCAGGCATGGAGATGACATTTGCTAGTCTCTGTGAGCCTCGGCCCAAGCTGGGGGGAAGGTAGGAAGAGTTGAACATACAAACACCATACTGGCTCCTTCAATATTAAAACATAGCTGTATTTTGAGAAGTGTCCTTCCCACATTGTCCTTTCAGAAAGATTTACTTGGATCATTCTGGGGTCTCTTACTTCCTCAGCCAAATCCTGACCTGGCTCCCAAGAGGATTGGGAAGAGGAGGAGGGGCAGACTGCTGCTGTTTGGAGGCTAGATGCTTTTCTCTTTGCTATACCACAGGCAGACTGAACTCTAACCCCAGTTGAATACAAGTGAGAGGTTCCTCCAGGCCCACCTTCCCCCAGCAGTCTTTAGTGTTACACTGGTTCTGGATGTCTCTGTGGTACAAAAGATGCACTTTTCCTAATGGGGCAGTTCCCATGTGTCCCTGTCCAGACTGTTTCTTTTGGCTTAGACCATAATCCTCTACTGTTCAGGGCATTGGAGTCCCTGCACTGAGGCTGTTGTCAATTTGAGTAATCATTGGCTCCTTCTCAGTACACTGAATCAGTGAGAAAACAGGCCAGGACTAGTCACTCAGCACTAAACCCCCAGTTCTTAAGCAGCCTCTGCCAGCCCTGCTTTAGGATGACACAATGAGTAACACCTAGGCATAGAAACCACTCTTTGGTTTGTTTGTATTATGTTCTACACCGTTAAAGCTCTAAAGACAAAGGATATAATACAGTCTTGAATCTAAAATAATTTGCTAACTATTTTGATTCTTGAGAGAACTACTAATAAAAACTTAAAAGGTTAAAAAAAACTTTCTGAATATTAAAAGCATCACATTTAAGAGTTCATTCTAAAATAAGCAGCTAGAAGATATCCTCAATTTATATGGCTAAATCTATATATTTTAATACTTATTCTCAAGAAAAAAATTGTGATTGCTATTTGACCTGACTTTTTTGAAGATGTTAGTTTTCTGTTCTGCCAAGTCCTGCCATCCTTCAGCCACAAATAAGCACACAGAGTAATATTAATTATTAAACTGTTGGCCAATGGTTTGGGCTTCTTACTGGCTGACTCTGTCTTAATTATTAACCTATTTCTATTAATCTATGTACTGCCACAAAGCACCTATAATCTGACATGTTACTCCTTAAGCAGCATGGTATCTCTCTCAGGTGACTCGTCTCTGCCTTCCTTTCCCCAGCTTTCTCCTGGTCTGGTAGCCTCACCTATCTGCCTGCTTGGCTACTGGCCAATCAGCATTTTATTCATCAACCAATAAAAGAAAAATACACAGAAGGTCATTCCCCATCACTCCTTCTTTGGGAAAATATGGAGATAAGTTCCTCCCTATCAAGTATTATAAAAGTTATGAGTTTTTCATCTTTGGAAGTTGCACCAACATGTTAACGTGTGATTATTAAAGGGAAATGCAGGGTGACACATTGTTGATGGGTGAAACTGGATTTAATGTGCTCATTTGCTCTTCCTTGCCAACCCTGTCAGAGCATACGCAGCATACAGAGCTATTTCATTACATTAAGACCAAAACACACTTTTACTTTATAAAATTTCTTTTCTCTTTTCTTTCCTTTCTTCTTTTTCTGTTTTTGTTTGTTTGTTTGAGACAAGGTTTCTCTGTGTAGCCCTGACTGTCCTGGAACCAGGCTGGTTTTGAACTCAGAGATCAGCCTCCTGAGTGCTGGTATCAAAGGCATGCCACCAGGACTGCCCAGCTAGCCTCAATTTCTAGACTTGAGAAAATTTGCAACATAGTATACTATTTAACATACAAATATTTAGAATTCTACCTAAATACATATTTAATTAGCATTTAAACCCACATTTTAAAATATCAACTTAGATTCATAAAACGTGGTTCTTTATAATTTAGAAAATATATTCACACACATGAAAACAACTTTTATTAGGATATTTGGAAAGCATTATGCAGAATATCCAGCAGGTGTCTACACTTTCAAATTACTGATAGTCACAATGGGCAACAAGGCCATGATCCTTTCCGAAAAAAAGCAATTCAGTTCTTGTTGCTCTTTACTCAAGTTTATATTCAAAGCTTCGTGATTGGCTTCTAATACCTAGTCTATGGAGAACTTTCTCTCCTTCAGGACTGGCCAGTTGTTTTCTGAGCAATTTTTACTGTGTAGTGAGAGACAATGCAGAACATGATATGAAGGGCAAGATTCCTTCTCCCAGGCACTGTGTTTATATGTATATTGGACCTGCACATCAAGAAGCAGGAGTGTTGGATATGGACACAATGAAAAAGAACATTGTTATAAAGCAGAGGAGAGTTTTGTTATAAAGAATTTTGTTATAAATGTTGTTATAAAGCAGACATTTGCAATTATAGACCTACCCTATGTGGATATTATTGTGAATTTTTCTAACCAGGAACTTGTTAAACTGAAACTGTAATAGTGGGGAAAAGGGAAACCTTTAAAGCATCAAGGACAACAGATCCCCCAACAGACTGAAAAATATAGGGACATCAGAATAGGAATAATAAAGGCAGAGAGAAACAAAAGTTAAGCCAGGGACCCTGGGGAGGATGCATCTTTTAGGTCAAGGTGAGGCAGTTTGAAGTGAACCTTAGACTGGGGAGAAGTTTAGGGCAAATGGATACCTTTAAGGTGCTGTGAGTGGTTTATAGCTATGAAGACAGTTAATAGTTACCTTGCTAATAGAGCTGAGATGGAGGGGGGTGTGATGTGGAGTTGAATATTAATTGTAGAGTTGGAGAAAAATGGCCTTTGTCAGGAGCTGCTGACTGTGAGGGGGTGCCAGGAATATTTCCTAGCCTAGTTTGGTGGCACAAGCCACTAATCCCAACAGGCAGGAAGCTGAGGCAGGATTGTAAATTTAAGGCCAGCCTAACATTGCAAAATGAAACTCAGTCCCAAAGAAAAAAGTAAAACAGGCAGAAGCACTCTTCTCTGTGTGAATGTGTGTGTGTGTGTGTGTGTGTGTGTGTGTGTGTGTAATATTCCTAGGTTTTTAATTTGGACTCTAGGGAGATTATTTAAAATAAGAAATGGGTCAAAAAGTCATGATGATTATTTTGGTTCTTTAATTGATGTAAAAGGTAAGGGAAATAAAGAACTATGCTCTTTAAGAATTAAAGCCATAATGACACACTAAACATTTACTTTAACTAAAGAAGGCCACAGTTGTACAGAGCCGAATCCAGTATGATACACTATTGATAATAAAACTGGGGTCCTGCCCTCTATAAAAGTTAGACTAATTATTATACACTTGCACATTCAGTTACATTATTTATTATTTTCTATTTAAAACCATTATTTTTATTGCAAAGGAGGCATAATTTTAGACTCAGCATATAAACCTTACTATAACTTATCTATATCTGCTAAACCAGAGTCATTTTGTCTCTTTAATAAGTGTGGTAATTTACATTGGCTAATAGCATAAACATAATAATTAGCATAATGTAGTTGTATTCTCAACCACTGGCTTATTATAACAATTTTAAATCTTGTTATTTTTCCTGGTAGAGCAAGGATTATGATTATCTATGATATTTTCTATGTATAACAAAACAAAACCAAAATATTTGCTTGCTTTATTTCTCCTCTAGCTTGATCCAGTCAGCAAAACTTTAGATATTGTTGGGAAATGTCAGTCATGTTGGGGGATTTGGTACTTGTGCTTTCTTCTTGGTCCTAAATGTATTTGGACTTTCCTCCTATGTTGTTTGACTGACAGACTATTTGACTAACTTTATGAGCTGCCTTCCATGGCAAAATGTAGTTTCAGCTCCACTGTGGTTGAGAGTTGTAGAGAGGAAGGTTCAAATTTAAATGATTATAAGAAAAATCCTGCATTGCTATACTGTGTGTGTGTGTGTGTGTGAGAGAGAGAGAGAGAGAGAGAGAGAGAGAGAGAGAGAGAGAGAGAACACTATGATTTATAGGTACTTACTTATAATTAGAGCCAAATTTACTTCCCTTAAAACTAAAACCAAATCTAACAGGACTTTGGCATTTGGAGAATCAAAAAGTGCCTCAATATTTTCCAAGATGGACTGGAGGTTTGGGAAGTGAATGCTGCTATTCAAGACTCTCCTGACTATGCTAGTAAGCTGAGAGGACTGAGCAATTGGAGATCCTAAGTATTAATGAAAGACCCCCAAGAGACCCCAAGAGTTTGGAGCCTGTCAGGGGGGAAGGCCCTTGCCCCCAGGAGACAAGACCAGACCACTGGATGCAAGTGCAAGAGGTTATTTATTGTTTACACAGGTACCTGTGGATGCTTCAGTCTTTCGGGGGACTGAGCGTGCCGAGGTTAAAACTCAGACAGTTTATATAGGGTTGGGGTGGCAAGAAGCAGGCTTACAGAAGCAGAAGCATGGTTACAGGGATTTCATTGTTTCATCTAAATGTAGCAGTTGTAGTTAACCAAGGACAGTTGGTTATTCGGGTTGGGCACAAAGAATACAAAGAATTCAGTTATGACTCTCTCAGCATACTGGACACTGTCCTGCTGACCTTGCTTTGGTCCAAGCTGCATTCCACAGATATCTGGTTGGCATTGGATGAGAGCAGCACCTGGTTCCCTCCTGTACTTTTTTCATAACTTGACCTTGGCAATTAGCAAGAGCAATTTAAATAGGCAATAAGCATAGTGGGGGTCTTTCATTAAAAAAAAATCTTTCCTAGGTCTTCATTATCTAGTTACAAGATTGACTTCAGTCTTCTAGTAAAAGCACCCTCTAAAGCTTAGATGCCACCAAGGTCAGGTCTATTAGAAGTAAATGTGAAGATGTATAACACGAAAAATAAATGAACTCAGAAACTGATATTGGTGTTCAAGCTTCAATTTGAATATCAGGAAAACAAAGCAGTTACCCACTAGCTCTCAACTCTAGCTCAGGCTGAAAGGGCTGATTGACATACAAGTCTCAAACTGCTGCTTCTCTTCAGTGTTACTGGAGAATTAATGCCTCTCTGAGACCTTGCTTTTGTCTTACATACTTCCCTGATATTGGTATTAAAGATGTGAGCTATAATTCTCTTTTAGACTGATTCACTCTTGTGTATATCTGGATGGCCTTGGAGTCACAGAGATCTGTCTGTCTCTAAATCCTGAGTCCTAGGATTAAAGATATGTATCATTACCTCCTAGCTTCTGGCTGCTGGGATTAAAGGTGCGTGTCTGGCATCTATGGCTTGTAGCTGACTTTGCTTTCTGAATCCTCAGACATACTTTAATAAATCATAAGTAATATATCACTACAAAGATGCAACATTGTAAATGTGAAATTCAAGTTTTTATTTTGTTTAGAATCCCTATGATTGGAATTCTACAAGCCAGAACCATTGACTAAGGGACTTTGTAATGAGTACGGTTTTTCCACCCGCCGCCCGGTCTGGTCCCACCGCAGCGCCAGCCTGACTCTCCATCCTGACTCCTCCTTCCTCTTCCTATTTCCTCCTTGTCTCCTAGTCCCTCCTATCTTCCTTTCCTATTAGCCAACAGTGCTTTATTATTAACCAGTATGAGAAACATATATACATAATGGCATCTCCCATCAGGGCTTTGCTTTCAGTATACAGTTTGCACTTGAGCTGAGGTCAAATTAGTTCAGGTTCATCCAAGGCTTGTCTTCTTACTGCCCATAAACTTATCAAGATTCAAAGAAAAATATCAAATTATATGCAAATTACTGTACCTAAGTTATCTAGAAAGCTGCATTCTAATACCATGCTAGTTTCTAATAGCAATGCTGTCATTGCTTTGAAGAGTTTGGTGAAGAAACAAACACA